GCTGCTGTAGTTCACATAATCATAGCTGTCGATAACTCACCATCACTAGCCCCGAAATAATTTGAACGGAGCAGAGGGAGGGAGATGGAGGGGAGGGGAGGGGATGGGGAGGAAGGGGCAGCAGCGTCGCTGTGACGCTGCTGCAAAGGGGGAGGTGAGGAGAATGGATGGATAGGGACAGGGAGGGGGAAGCGTCGCAGCTGCGATCGCAACAGATGGAAGGGGGAGGGAGAGGAGAATGGAGGAGGGAGCGGGCGGCGGCGACGGTGGAGGCAGCGACCGGTTGTGAAAAATGAGGAGAGAAATGAAATGGATTAGGTTAGGGTTGTGATAGGTTTTATATTTAAAATAAATTTTGGTGGGGTAGATAGTAGGATGGGTATATATGTTATTTTAATTTTATAATATCATTATTAATTAAAAATGATAAAACTTGATTTTTGATTAAATAAAACTTAAACCTGACTTTTATAAACTTGCAAGAAAACAGCTAGTTTGATGTAATTATCCCATATAATCTTGGGCTTGACTTTGAAAATGATATTTCACGGCACTTCGAAGGCCTTGCTCAACTTGCATAAATTGTCTTGCACCACACTTTGCTTGTCCTTCAAAATCTTGAATTTGAAAAATTCAATAAAAATTTAAGTGGGTCCAAAAGGAATATTCCAACATATTGTTTTTCCTTTCAAAAATTTTATTCACAAAATAATGGGAAAATAGCTTAAAGAATTCACGGAATATATGATAAACAATTAGCAATAATCATACCTAATAAGGTTGATTTTACTTTAAAATGAACATAAAACAGATACTGAAACAACCCGACCTCTAAGTTCAAGCCTTTAATTTACATAATGTTCACTATAAGAGAGTCTGAGCTCATCTTATTTCTCATAGATTTTTACATTCCTTTTAGAGTAACTTAAAATTGAATTATGGTACCAATTGGACAACAACTTTGACATAGAAGTAGGGTCATTAAAAAAACATGCATTTTTTTCTTGTAACGACTCAACATCTATACTCAAACTATTAACTTATGTACTATTCTTTCTGGGAGAGTCTAAATTCATCTTATCCCTCACATATTTCTATCGCTTCCCAAAATTTGAACCATTGACATTTTGCTTTAGAATGCTTTAAGTTGAATCTTGGAGATGGGACAAAAATTCGTAAGGAATAAGATATGCTCAAACTCTCCAATAGCGGACAATACGTAAGTTTTCAAAAATAAATATTAATTTTAACTATATATTTTGGAGTACTCACAAGTACTATTCATTTATTAATCACTCTTTTCTTAAAAAGAAAAAATTTAGCAAAATAAACTAAAATCCAAACAAAGGTTAAGTAAGTTTCTTCTTTCTAATTAACTTTAGCGAATGAAAAATTCTTTTTGAAGCTTAACATATTCCGATATAATTAAACTTGTTAAGCCCGGACAAACAAGGTGTAGATGACTTATTCTTTTTAAAGCTTTCTTCCATGACTGCAATATAAAGGATATTGTCGATTCAACTAGGAAGATCTATGATCACGATGTGCATTAAGTTCGACATCAAATTTGACACTGTTATGAGATAACAACTTTTTATACATTGATTTTAATAACATTTTAAACAATTAATGGCTCAAATTTTGATATATAATGGAGTGTCAAACTTATATACTAAGCTTAATTTTAAGGATTAAACTATTTGTATATACAAAGTGTACACCTTGATTGACACATCACTAAATGTCAAAACTTTTGTAGTTTATTGAAAAATTTGTTGTCGAGATCAATGTACCAAAATCTTCCAACTCACGTGGGTGTAAATCAGTATGTCAAACTTTATGTACATATATGATCCTTAATTTTCTCTCTGTCCATGACTATTGAATTTTTTACAGGCCATTGTAATCATAGATCTTCCCAGTTGAATAGGCAATATCCTTCATATTGCAGTCATGGAAGAAAGCTTTAAAAAGAATAAGGGCCCGTTTGTTTATGCTAAACAGTAGAATTACTACCGTTGAGAAGGAGAAATAATGTCGTTCAGCCACTGTTGAAGCCGTAATTGTTGACCATGTGTGAGACAGGTGGGGCCCGCCTGCCACACCTAACGGGCAAAAAATCACTGTCTTGGTGGAGGAAAATTGTTGCCAGACATGGCATAAGTCATCTACAACTTATTTGTCTGGGCATAACAAGTTTAATTATATCAGAATACGTTAAGCTTCAAAAAGATTTTTTTATTCGCTAAAGCTAATTAGAAAGAAGAAACTTACTTAGCCTTTGTTTGGATTTTAATTTATTTTGCTAAATGTTTTCTTTTTAAGAAAAGAGTGATTAATAAATGAATAGTACTCGTGAGTGCTACAAAATATATAGTTAAAATTAATATTTAATTTTGAAAAGTAAAATTATAGGAGAAGAGCTTGAAACTCAAGGGAAGCTTAGAGCATGTTGGGCGTGGTCTCTTTTTATATTTCCTAAGAAGTTAGTAATTTTTTTTATCTAATAATAATTAAATATTAATTTCAATCATGCATTCATAATTACTAACTATTTATTATCCAAGCTAGATTCAATACAATTCCTTCTAAAAGTTATTGGAGTTTGTTTGATTGTCAATATTTTCATGAAAAATGTGTTTTGTGTTTTTCACCTTAATTTCTTAATTTTTTGTTGTTTGATTGACAATTTTTTTAAGGATTTTCTTATTTTTAGTCACGTGGCCATATTTTCTTGAAAATAAGGAAAATATTTTTTTTAGGGAGATATGATTTTTTATTTTTTAGATAATTTACTATTTATTGTTTTTTCTCTCATCTATAAATGTCTCTTATGTGTTCACCAATAAAAATGAACAAATATAATATTTTATAGGTTGAAAACTAAATCAATCAAATACATTTAGAGCTTGTTTGAGAGGGATTAAAATCAGATTAAAATTGAAAATATAACTGTTGGAGTTGACTTTTATTAGACGAATGAGACCCAATAACTATTATGTTTTCAATTTTAATTGAATTGTAATCCTTCCCAAACAAGCCCTTAATTAATAATTCTCATACAAATAAATTCTAGACAATTGAATTACCTAAAATTTATTTTTCTTTCCATACAAATTCTATACTCACAATTAAACGCACCTTTATTTTTTTCGTCATAAAAAGATATGATTACTTTCATTTTCACAAGATTAAGAAAATATAATAAACGTAGTTAAAAATATAAATTCTATTTTCATTTTTCCTAATGTATCAATACATTAAATATTGATTATAATTAACTTTAGCGAATGAAAAATACTTTTTGAAGCTTAACATATTCCGATATAATTAAACTTGTTAAGCCCGGACAAATAAGGTGTAGATGACTTATTCTTTTTAAAGCTTTCTTCTATGACTGCAATATAAAGGATATTGTCGATTCAACTAGGAAGATCTATGATCACAATGTGCATTAAGTTCGACATCAAATTTGACACTGTTATGAGATAACAGCTTTTTATACATTGATTTCAATAACACTTTAAACAACTAATGGCTCAAATTTTGATATATAATGGAGTGTCAAACTTATATACTAAGCTTAATTTTAAGGATTAAACTATTTGTACATACAAAGTGTACACCTTGATTGACACATCACTAAATGTAAAAAATTTTGTAGTTGATTGAAACAGGTGTTGTCGAGATCAATGTACCAAAATCTTCCAACTCACGTGGGTGTAAACCAGTGTGTCAAGCTTTATGTACATGTAGTATGTTCCTTAATTTTCTCTCTGTCCATGACTATTGAATTTTTTACAGGCCATTGTAAAAAATTACCTAAAATTTATTTTTCTTTTCATAAAAATTCCATACTTGCAATTAAACGCACCTTTATTTTTTTTCGTCATATAAAGATATGATTACTTTCATTTTCACAAGATTAAGAAAATATAATAAATGTAGTTAAAAATATAAATTCTATTTTCATTTTTCCTAGTGTATCAATACATTAAATATTGATTTAAATATGAGTATTTTATATTTTGTTCATAACAAGATACATTTAAATAAGTACATATTAAAAAACTAAAAACTAAATTATAATCTTAATAAGAAAGTTGTTTATATTTTTTGAGAAACAAGAAGGGGAAGCAAATCTATTTTTATGGAATTGAAGAAGTAAAAATTTTAGGCGAACAAAACAAATGAAAAATTATTAAAAAGTAGTTTTTTTGTAAGTATGAAGAGAGCACCTTTTTTTTTTTATAATTACTAAGAGAGCATATGAGTTACAACTCTTGATACTTTGCATTAGTCTGATTTTGTTAAATATAGAATTTTAATAGATTTTGATAAAATTTAATATCTGTGATTAAAAAGTTGATAAAAATTATAAATTTATGAAATATTTAATTAATATTAATTATTGATTTTAATTAAATTTCAAATCAATTCTTTTAATTAAATCAAACATAGACTTAATACAAAAAATATGTGGCTGAACATGTTAATCCCTATTCGATGGTGTCATTATTTTGAAAAAAAAAAAAATAGAGTATTTGAACAGTGATTTTTAAAAAAATGTATAGTTATAAAGTTGATTTTTTTTTTGAATTTACGTATAAGATATTTTATTTTATAAATATTTGATTAAAAATTGAGCATAAAATTGAAGAGTTTTGAAAATAGGCGTGGAACTGTGCTAAAGTTACTTTCAAAGTGTTTGAGACACATACTTTTGAAAGAATGTATTATTGAATAGTAGATTGATGAAAAATGTGTGGTTAAAAATGAAGGAAAAGTTATTAATGTGATGAAAAATATTATTTTATTGAAAAATATGTGATTGAAAATGACTAAAAGAATGAGAATAAAAAAAATAATACGATAAAGGACGTCAAAGTTGCTTCAAGTCGAAAAAACGTTGTAGCAGTGAAAAGTACATAAATCTGTTTGTGGCGAGTGGCGAACCAAGAATACGGAAAAACGAAAAGTTAGAAAAAAGAAAAAAAAAAATGTCGAGAATGGAAGACGAGGAATTTCGGCGCCGGAAAATGGAAGAAGCCCTCGAAGTGAAATCCCTCCGTCGTATCATCAGTGCTTATCTCAAGTATTTCCCACCCCTCTCTTTTCTAACACACAAATACTCTGTATTCCGTGTTTAATCAATTGTATACATGATATATATGTATATACGTGCGTGTGTGTATCTATATTTGTTTGATTTTTCATTTTTTGTATTTAAATTTATGCCAGTGATATTTTCTGAATTGTGTATTTTTCTTTCGACCCAGACTTTAATATGATAAATTATAGTGAACGTCATTAGTGAATAGGGACCCTATTTATGAGCTAAAAAGTGGCCCCCAATGATAATTTGTGGGGGGGGGGTGGGGGGGGGGGTGAGTGAGGCTTAAGTAGGCATTTGCAGCATGAAATAAACTCAAATGTTGAATGGAATTCAATAGATATATGGCGAAGAAATGATTATATACATTGAAAAACCTTCTACCAAAATGGAAAGCGGACGGAATCTTTTTTTTATATTATTCACGGGCATAACTCCAAGTATGTTTTGAAGTGTCACTAGAGAAAATAATGGTTAAGGGAGCAGAAAAGAGCCCTTTAAAATGTGTATCAAACATGAAATGCTAAAAAACTTATGTTATAGTACATTAATAGGGTATCATACAATTGTACATTTTTTGAGCAGGTGATTTGTAAATAGATAAACTAGATTCCTTGAGGGAAATAATTGCAAGGTTAAAATAAAGAGCCTCCTTTTTTTTTGAACCTAGTATTCTCTTTGGTAAGAACTTGTTCGGTTAACGAGTCCACCAATTGTAAGAATACTTAGAAAAGACCAATGTTCCATCATGATTCACGAATGCAAGAGAAAAGGTAAGACAGTCCAAATATTAAGTAGTTCCTTTTTTAAAAAAAATAAATCGTAATCAAGAATTATTCAACATTGATGCAATAACATGAACGTATAAAAATCTTAAATACCGAGTAGTGAACATGAAGATGGAGTACCAATCATGGTTTGGAAACATAAATATTGGTAAAAAATGTTAAAGCTTACTTCCAGACCATAAGTTTTGAAAACAAAAATCCTGAATACATTCAAATATAATCCCATCTTTTCTTAATGAAGGTTGAGGTGTAATAGCATATCTGAACTCCATCTTTATTCTGAGACTCCGCATCTGTACCTAGATTGATTCATTGTGATGGAGGTACTCTGTTTAAGAATCTCTCATGCAAAGCAACATAGGAAATGGATAACTTTTAAGGGAAAAAAAAGAAGTACAAGAAAAGACCTTCTGAACACAGTAGTTTTCAGTCAGTCAATGGAACTTAAATAGATGTAATGGAAATGGGAGCCTCAATTTAGTTTTACCACATTTCCTAGATAAATGAATTCCTAAACCGAGTGCTGTTTCAGCAAAAGTGGCTGAATTGGTACCTTATTCACCCAAATAGAGAAAAATAGCTTTTTTAGTATTATAATGGATGTATATCACTATGGTAATGCTGTAGATATGCCATGTTATTTCTGATGCTATTGCATGTTGCAACAACACGGTAGCAGCTTTCATATTAGTTCGTATCATATTTCCAATCATAATTTAGTTGTTGTCACTTTGACATTTACTAATAGAAGCTTGCAGTATTCATTATCTTATCTTCCATCTCATTTGAAAAAAAGTTATTTTTCTTGCCTTTCTTCATGGCAAAACATATTGTATTGAATAACATTCTGTAAAAGGCCTACTGATTAAATTCTTTCTTCATGGATTCTCAATGTAGCTATCCGGAGGCTGCAGAGGAGGATATTAGAAGATATGAAAGCTATTTTAGAAGACTTCCACCATCTCACAAGGTTCTAGTCTCCTGTAAATCGTCGTGGTTATAAAATTCCTGAGATATAGATGCAGTAATTTGTCAAGAAATTAAATTTTTACTAAGGATCACAGAGATGAAGAAATTTCAATATGTGCCTATTTAAAGAAGAGAATACTATGAAGAACTCTATTGAACTCATGTTATTTCATATTTGACAAACTGTAGATGAAATGATAGGTTATAAATTCTGGCAAATACTGAAAGAGTTCTTATTTTGCAAACTACGTCTTATAACTTCCTATATCGAATTTTGAGTTTTATGAAAAAGGAACTTTGTCGAACTATTTATTATCTGTCGTTCCTGATCTTCTATAATGGTGATTCTCGCACTATGTTATTATTAATTTTGACCCTATATGCCACGTGCTAAATCTACAATTTATTTAGTAGTGTTATTTTGAGAGATTTCACAGTGTTTGATGAATATGGTTTTTTGTAATTTTGAACCTTGAATCTTCTAATTTATGGTCTTTTGCTTCTGCAGGCACTTTTATCGCACCTTCCTTTGAAATTTAAGAAACTCAGATGGTATATCTATCTTGACAAACTTTATATGCATATTAAGAATAGTTTTGAATGTTGAACTAACACTAAATTGTCATTTCTTCCACAGCATCTGAAACTCTCTCTTCCAGAAATTTTGACACTGAAAGAGAGATGAATAGTGAGCTCCATTGTTCTTAAACCAAAATATTAAAAATACAGAATAGTTGGAATGTATTTCTTAGATGGCTTCTATAAAAAGTCATTTGGAAAATCTTATTAAAGAAATGAAGAAGTGTACGAGAACTTGAAGTTGTTTTGTGACGTTCCCCCTTAATGTAATTAATATTTATTATTATTATTAACAAATTTTTTTTAA